TCTGCTTGTTTACCGAGTAATTTCTGTTTCTCTTCATTATGGTGTTTCTTTTTATTAGAGATATGTGTTCCTGGTGTCCTTGCTGCACCTACTGTAGGCGATGGGATATGCACAACGGTTGGTTTATGCTTTTCATGTTGTTGTTGTTGTTCTTCCTCCTTTTCTTCCCCATGATGATAACCATCACTTCTACCACCATGCATAGATGATACACTTCCTCTTCTTCCTCCTTCTTCTCTTTCTCTTTCTCCTTGTTGTTGATGAGATAATGATAATGATAATTGTTGTTGTTGTTGTTGTTGAAAAGGTGGAGGTATGGTCTGTTGTGTAGATAATGTCCGAGTGGCTGCAGCTTCTTGCATAATCCGTCGGTGTTGAGCTTCTAATTCCCGTTGTCGTTGTTGTTCTCGCCGCTCTGCGTAATATCCCCAAATAAGTGCATATATACTTATCATCATAGATAATAACATATCCCGCAATACATAGGGAGGATACCACATCCAACTGAGAATATCAATATCCACAATATAAGAAGGAATAATATGAATATGCCAAAGTGTAATGGGCGTGGTAAAGATTAATAGTAATAGTGGAAGAATAAGGGCAAAGGCATTCTGTTGCCACCATACCGTTTCTGCAGAGTTCTGATCCACATATACACGCATTTTACATGTGAAATTATTTGCTGTTGCGATATAACCACGACGAGCATTAATAATAAAATAATACGATTGATCCACAATAGAAGGTTCCACTCGTAACATTACAGTTGGAAGTAATTCACAAAAGGCACTATTATCCAACATTGTGGCAATGGCATTCCAAAATAAAGACCATGCATTTTGAGAGGAATTCACTACACTATCTCCATGTTCAGTTACTTGACGGATTTCCACATTTATATAATATCCTCTGCAATTGTCTATAGAGATACTCTTATCATAACGATGTTCAAGGAGTTGGGCTACAATGTTAATAATATTTCCAGCCTCTCCACTTATATTCATAATATATCGAGAACTATCCGTCATCTCTACTAACGACATACTGTTTTTAGAAGTAACCTTTTCCACACGTTCCTCAATTTGAATATAAGAGTGAGGTACAATGAAAGAATCCGGTTCCTTTACATGAACATCACTGGAATGAGCCGCCCAAATATCCTCCAGATCATTTGTATTCGTGGTATAATAGTTATTACTACTACTACTACTTTCACTATCTTCACTATTTGCTACGACTGCAAGTGTAGCGAAGGCAATAGGAGGACCGAGTGAAGCCTTCATTTGACTTGCACTTAACTCCATCTTATGATGGGCCACTTCTTGTATTCCTTCCCCTTCACTGGGCTCAGATGGGATGGGTGGGAGTTTATAGCCATAGGCCACAAATGAAACGGTCAACAAGAGAAGAGGAATAGATGCAATATATAGTGGGAAATACGGGTCACGTAGTCGAAACCGCATATCTTCTTTTCTTTTTTCTTTTTCCTTTTCTTTTTCCTTTTTTTTCTCTTTGTTTGTTTGTTTGTATTTTCCCTACTTACGATTTCTCTTAAACTAAATGGTAATAGTATCGCAAGGAATGAGAAACGAATTTTTTTTTTCTTTCTTTATTCAATAAAGCAAGAAAGAAGGTATATCTATATATATATATGTATATATTTACCTTGATTTTCCTTTCAATATATATATATCCCTGTATATTTCCTGGCTTCTTTTATTCTTTTCTTGTGAAGGGAACGATGATATGATTTTTATGCTTTTAGTATATATATATATATATATATATATATATATATTCGCTTAATTTCTTTTTTTTTCTTTCTTTTTCTTCTTCTTTAAGAATTCCAAACTTCCCTAGTCTTTCCGTACCTTTCTCTTCAGGTTTCTACACTGGTGGTTTAACTAATGTAATTAATAATACACTATTGACTCCCTTTATACTTCTAAACCTTCACCCCAGTACTATAGTAAAATAAAAAAAGAGAAGGAGAAAAAAGAAAAAGAATAAACAAATAATAAAGATAGTGAAAGATCCCCCTCTCTCTCTCTCTATATATATATATATATATATATATATATACGCATAGTCTACAAAGATAATAATAACAACAACAACAGCAGAAACATATTAATTAGTATAATAATAATTATTTTTCTTTTAAAAATCGATGCCAAACACTTCATCCTCCGCAAACACATCACATGATTCCTTCTTTTCATGTATTTGTTGTTGCCGCTTTGGCTGTGGTCCCTCCACACCGCTGGTGAGTTCCGCCTCCCGCAATGCCTGCAGATGTTGAGATAAGGCATTTAATTTAAACGAAAAGGAATCCTCAACATTATCTACATCCCCATTATTATTATTATTATCCTTATCTTCATTCTCATTATCCTCATTATTATTATTATTATTATTATTATTATTATTATTAT